AGGAGGAAGGAGTGGAAGTGATAATCATTTGTTTCCTATGAGGGAGAGCAGAAAAGTTGTTAAACATTAGAATACAGGCCTTCTCAATTACTCCTCAAAATAAATGGATATTGATTTCTTTTTTAAAAAAAAATCAGATTTACTTTCCCACCTTCACTGTTAAATATTGATGTCTGTGGGAAATAGAAATGAAAAGCTTAATTTTAAAGGCACTTAGCCTGCTCTGACAGTGGGGTACCCCTTCATTACTTCAAGCAGGTAGAGGATAAAAAGGATATTCTGGTCATACAGATTTAGCTCTGAGCTTTGCTACCATTTGTGACTGGAAGAAGGTTCTGCGTCCCTGTTTTCCTAATAAAGCCATCCTACCTTGTAGGGGAGGCAGAAGACTTACAGCGAGAAGATATTCTAAAAAAGCAGAGTGTTTTTCCCAGTTTCTAGCCTGGGATGAACGTGGCAGCCCATGCCTTGCTAACCACTACAGCGAGTGCCTTGGAAGCTTGCATTACTCTCTTGTAGGCTGCTTAGTTCACTGGTTTGCTTTCTAACTATAGCAGTTCTTGAGATAGTAGCAGCTAAAATTATGTTAGAAGAATTGCAGTCTTAAAGCTGCAGGGACTGTATTCTGGACATCACCCCAGTGTCAGGTTTACAACTTTTCATGTGGGTACTTCCCCTTGACCAAGAAGAGACACGCTCAGGATTCCTCTCCAGTCTGACTCTCTTGGGGCGATTACTGCTGATCTTCCAAACAAAACCCCAGCCCCCGCTGCCCCCAGGATGCCTCACCCACCCCCCAGGTGTGCCTCAGCCACCCCCCAGGTGTGCCTCACCTCCTGTCTCGGTGTCTCTGCAGAGGTTCACCAGCAAGCAGGACGTGATCCGGCACTACAACATGCACAAGAAGCGCGACAACTCCCTGCAGCACGGCTTCATGCGCTTCAGCCCCCTGGACGACTGCAGCGTCTACTACCACGGCTGCCACCTCAACGGCAAGAGCACACACTACCACTGCATGCAGGTAACGCCCCCGGGGGCTGCTGGAGCCCCCCGCCTGGGGCTGCACCCAGGGGACTCCCTGCAGAGAGCAGGGGCTGCCCCGAGGCACAGGGGGGACGTTCGTGGTCTCGCTGGCTCCTCTCTGTGCCCTGCCCGGGCTGCACTTGCCCTGCCTGGTGTTGGGGAGGGTGAAGGGAAGCACCTTTCTCTGGCTTTGGAAGCCTTGTGTGTGCAGCGAGGCAAAGCAGGTCTCAGGGCTTCTCACAGGCTTGGACTTCACTTGTTCAAACAAGTCCCATTCCCTGAGATTCGGGGACCTCCCTGCAGTGCCTCTGCCCAAATCTGATCTGTCACTCCCCTGAAATCAGCCTTTTCTGTGACATGTCTGCCCTTTAACATGGGGTTAATTTCCTCCATAATCAATTTCTAAAGTAATTAAACTTCACATACTTAGGCTTAACCTTCCTAGACTTTACCTCATTCTCCATCTCCTTCTGGTGCAGGCTGGGAGCTCTGTTTTGAGAGCCAGCCAGGCTGCCCCAGCAGCATAACCAGAGCTGGAGCTGCTGCACAGGTGGAACTGTGACACCTTCACTGATTTTAAACATGGACACAGCAGATTGTGGGCCCTACCCTGATCATTCTTAAGATTAGAGGGTTTGAGATGTACTTGTTGCACCAATCGTGCCCTAAACCATTGCCATGAGAATGTGCTGTAGCTACAAACAGAATAACCAGGCAACCCCTGGTGAAAGCTTTTCTCTTCTGAAGACTCAGCTCTCACTTCCTGCCCTATCCCTGCAGTTTAAGACCCCAGTTAAAGTCACAAGGCCTTAATCACATGCTTAAATGCTTTGCTGGGATAGACTTCAGCCTATGTTTAACTTGAAGTCAGGTAAGCTTTCTGAAGTCAATGGGGCTTAAGCACATACTTAAATGTTAGGCATGCACTCAAGTACTGTCCTGAATAGGGGCTGGTTTGAGCATGTGCTTACAACATTTGATAAATTGGGAACTTCATGTGACTTTCTCTTGAGGACATTTTCTGTTAGACTTCCATAATATCGATTGTTTAGTTTCTTCAATTGACCAGGATGGGTTCTGTTATTTTTTTAGAGTACAAGGAGTGTTTCAGAGCTTTAAGTTGCTCTGAGTTTGAATAAAGACCCTCATTTACACAGCTATATATGGGTAATTCCATCCTGTGCCCACTGGCTTCCAGTAAAATAATGCCCATGTAAGCAGTGTCTTACAGGAAAGGTGTCTGAATATAAACTCCCAATTAAAGAAAATACTGTTTAAATGGCAGAATTTGGACCATCCATCTCATGGGTTTTTTTTTCTTTATGTCCATAATTGGTGTGGATAAAATTCAGTTAGTTGTTTATATAAACTGACATTTTTTTTAGGCTTTAGCACCAAGAGCCACACTGCAAATTATTCCTAAGGAGGTTTTTGTTTAATTCTTTTTTTTAATGCTGTGCAGGGTCTGTCTTTTTTCAAGGTGTCAGTGCAGAGAGAGAGAGGCTCTTTTATATTGGAAATAGCTGGAGATCCTTTTCATTTTTTTTCCTGGGTATTTGTCATGGGTTTTGTTATTGCCTGTTTGAATCAACCTGGGCTGAACTAAGAGGTGGTGTTTTCGTTCTCTTCACTTCTGAGATGGTGCAGGCATTGGCACACGTTGTGCTACAGAAGAAAAGGGAAAAAAAATTCCTCCCTCAGCAGGGCTGAGGACGTTTTCAGATTCCAGTGTTTTTTTACTCAATATGGCAAAGCTGCCCGCTTTACCCAGAGGAAGGCAGGTTTTCAGCATTCCATCCTCCTCACACCATTCCCATTTGCTGCACAAGTTCAAAGTAATTGACGTGGTAGTTTTGAACAGTGACAGGGAAAAAAAGTCACCAGTGTGTTAAGATGATCTGGACATGGGGTTTGTGCTTGGCTAGAATGAAACCCCTGTATTACAAGCCCAAACGATTGGCCTCGTGTTGCACCACCCTGCCTTCCCTCCCAGAAGGGCTGGAGAGGTAAATAACTCATTCCCACCCAAGTCTGTATTCCTCAAATAGGTGAAAGTCCAACTTTGTTCCATGTTGCTCCGAGTTAACAAAATTCATGGCATCTGCCCCTGTTCTTTTCTCCTTTAGAGCAGAAGCCCTGCTTACTGCCTCCCTGAGCAGCCCTGATTAGCTGGAGCTGGTCTTTTAGCCCTTTGCATCCTCCCCCTTTTTTCTTACTGTTTCATGCCCAGAGAGTTGGTGGTTGTTTTGGTTGGTTTTTTTTTCCACAACTGCTCTATCAATCTTTAGATTGGGAATTAAAGTGATGACTTAATACTCCTAGGAGAAGTGCAGAAATGGCACTGTTAAATGTTCGTGTGCTGCTCGGGTGATGATCACTGCTGGTAGTAATGGTGGGCAGTTAAAACACTGTGCTGATGACTCCCTGTCTTGGCCCGGGGTAGGTGGGCTGTAACAAGGTCTATACCAGCACCTCTGACGTGATGACCCATGAGAACTTCCACAAGAAGAACACGCAGCTGATCAACGACGGGTTCCAGCGGTTCCGCGCCACGGAGGACTGTGGCACCGTGGAGTGCCAGTTCTACGGGCAGAAAACCACCCACTTCCACTGCAGGTGAGACAGCCAGGGAGAGAGGAGGCTGCCTGCAGAGTTGTGTGGGCTGTTTGCTTTGGCCAAGTCATCGGTTCAGGGGCAGACACGGGGATTTGATTTTCCCCGCTGTGACCTCACTGCTCGTGAGAGAACTCCTGCTCCAGGGCAGGTGTCATCTCCAGGATCTTGCCACAGATCACTCTGAGTGTCATCTGCAGTGAGCTGAGCAAAGGGTGTCCACTAGAAAATACATCCTAGAGTCATTTGGGGAAGGGATCACAGTGCTCTTTAGAGTATGACTTCAAGTAGGCCATTATTATACTGCTAATGGCACTTCCATGCCAGAGTTCTCTTCAGCCAGCTCACCCCTACCAGAGCCAGACTCTGCCTTCTGCACCCAAATGCTCTTGTGTTGATGGCTGATGGTCTCAGGAAGAGTAGGGAAGCACAGTTTGTGCCTTAGTCCCCTTCAGCTGCTGTTTTGGTTGGAACTTTTAGTGGTGGATGTCTGCATCCCCATGCTATTGTGGCTGTTCCTCGGGAGGGGAGTGAGCTTCCCAGCTCTCTCACATGGCAGCAGTTCTGCTTGCCTTGGTGACACAGGTTAAGGTGCATAAAGTCCCTCAGCCCCTTTGCAGCCAAGGCCATTGTCTCATGCTGGCCTTACGGTCAGAGGGACAGCAGTCATGTTGTGCCCCTAGCCCACACAGCCAACCACCCTGTCCTCCTCGATGCCCTTGCAGGCGACCTGGGTGCACATTCACCTTCAAGAACAAGTGTGACATTGAGAAGCACAAGAGCTACCACATCAAAGATGATGCCTATGCCAAGGACGGCTTCAAGAAGTTCTACAAGTATGAGGAATGCAAGTATGAGGGCTGTGTCTACAGCAAGGCCACCAACCACTTCCACTGCATACGGGCAGGCTGTGGCTTCACCTTCACCTCCACCAGCCAGATGACCTCCCACAAACGCAAGCACGAGCGCCGGCACATCCGGAGCTCGGGGGTGCTGGGCCTGCCGGCCTCTCTCCTGGGGTCCAAGGAGAACGAGCAGGAGGAGTCCAGTAACGACGACCTCATCGACTTCTCTGCCATGAGCTCGAAGAACTCCAGCCTGAGTGCCTCCCCCACGAGTCAACAGTCTTCCGTTTCTCTCATAGTCCCAGCTGCACCCTCCTCTGCTGCTGAGCTTGCTTCCTCACAGGCCAGCAAGTCTGCCAACAGCATGACACCAGCCACCAAGATCTCTGGCCTGCTCTCCCAGGCCCTTCCTAGCAATATACCCTTGGCGCTGGCACTCTCCAACTCAGCACTTCCTGGAACAGCTGGATCCTTCTTCCCCATCATCCCCAGTCGGGTCTCCACGCCACTTCCTGCCAGCTCAGCTAATCTGATGACTGCTGGTTCTTCTGGCACCAATCCAACATCATCTGCTCCCACAGATTGTGCATCCCAGGCCATTTCAGGGTCTGGTGAGCCAGCAGCTACTTCTTCTCCAGCTCCAGCGGCATCTATAATGGAAAGGATCTCTGCTAGCAAGGGATTAATCTCTCCTATGATGGCCAGGCTGGCAGCAGCTGCTCTCAAGCCCTCGGTGGCACTTGAAGCAGGTGAGTTACCCTCATCAGTCGTGCTAGTGGTGGGTGAGAAGCCCCCCAGTTGCTCATGGGACTAGAGGTGGGGAGGAGGTAGTAAAGCAACATAAATGGGAGAATAAATTTGGTCGTGCCCATGTAACCCTTGAAGAGGGCAGTCTTGGCTCCCTGTGGAGCCTGGTGATGTCCAGAAGAGAAGCAGGGAACACAGCTTTGCTCTCCAGTAGAGCAGGCTCTGACCAGCTCTGAAGGAAGAGTGTTGCCCTGTGTATTGCCCAGCCTGCTGTAGCTGGAAAGAGAGAGAGAGGCACTGGGTTAAAAATGGACATGAAGCAAAAGCTTGGCCAATGCTTGCAGGCCACACAGCAGCCCAGGCCCTCTTCTGCAGCCTGTGTTCAGTTTTGGCTGGGACTAGTGGTGTTGATCGTGTAGCTCATTGCCAATCATTTTTCTGACCTGGGCGGTTGGTTTTGTGCACTAGCTCTGTTATCCCAGCTGATGGTTTGGAGATCATGTTGATACAGTCCACAGACTGGACCTCTCTCCAGTTCAGTTCTGTTGCACTCCTCTGGGCAGCAGCACCATGGGAGGGGTAAAAGATGGGGCTGAGAAGTCCCCTGGGACAGCTGGGAGCTCTCTCTAGATCTGGGGCAGGTGGTTGGCTGTGCCCAGCCCTGCCAGCAGGGCCGTGGAGCTCCCTCAGGAGCACAGGGCACCTCCACCACTCCTGCTGGACGTGGTCAGCTCACGGAGGGCACTGGGGGGTCTTGTGGGGAGCGGTGGGGGCTGTGCCTGGCAGCACCCCGTGGCACTGGGCTGCCCCTCAGCCTCCTTCCCTGGGCCGTGGAAAGGTGGGAGCAGGCTGCTGGCCCACGGGTGGGGCTGCTGGCCCATGGTGGCTGCCCGCTGCCCATGGTGGCTGCTGCCCATGAGCAGATGAGAGAGCAGAATGAAGTGATCTGATTAAAGAGGGAGGGGAACTTTCACATACTTCAAAAATTATTATTTGAAAAATTGTTTCCTAAAGCAGAGAAAGGTCATGGAGGGAACTATTTTCCTTTATTTTTTAATAAAATGCCACTTGCTGTCTGAGAGCAGCTCGCCGTCAGCTGTACTGCCCGAGGGCAGATTAATATTTTAGTCACTTGGGGATTGTGGAGAAGAGCTCTGCAGACACGTGCCCGTCAGCAACTTTTTTTCCCTCCTTTTTTCTTCCCTTTTCTTCCTCTTTTTTTTTCTCCTCTTTAATTCCTTCTGCCGTTCCCTCCCCATTCCTCCTTTTTTCTCTCCCTGGACTGGAGTTCTGCTTGCAGGGGCTCAGCACTGAAGCCCCTGCCCGGGACGCGGGGGGTGG